GGGGGGAAGCTGCTTTGACAGCTACTGTTCTCTGAGCCTGTGCCACATGCCAAGCCCTTGCCTGCATCATCTCATCGTGTTCATAACAACCCTCGGCAACTGATACCCATTTTCCAGCTGAGAAAGCTGAGACCCGGAGAGACCAAGGCTTCTGCCTGAGGACACATTGCATCAGGCCAGTGGCAGGGTCAGAGATGGACCCCAGGTCTGGGTGCCCCTGGGCCTGAGCCCTCGGCCACCACGCTGCATAACTCCCCCTTCCGCTTGCAGGCCGTTCTCTTCCGCCTCCTTCCCGGGATGGCGAGGACGCACTCCCGGACCTGGACCTCCTCCCACCTCCGCCGCCCCCACCAGCATTCCTGCCTCCTCCTGAGGACGAGCTCCCAGCCCCGGTGGGGGCCGCGCTCATTTCTGACTTAGAGCAGCTACACCTGCCCCCACCCCCACCACCATCACAGGTATGCGACCCCTGACCCTGGTGGAGCCCCGTGGGCCAGGGAGAGAGGGTCTGCTTTTCCTGGGCCTTTGGGGATGTTAAGCCTGGAGATGGTTTGGTCCGTTCTCCTGTTTGAGGACAGCCCCTCTTTGAAGCTCTTTGAGGCTGTAAAAGTGATTGTGCCCCCCTTTCCCCATCAGGCCCCTTCAGCTCTGAGAAGACGTTCCCCTGGGTCTGACCCACATCCCTTATGCGACATATGAAGCCCATTTAAAAAATGTGTGTGTGTGTATTTTTTTAATTTCAGAGAGGAAGGGAGAATGAATATGTTACACGGGGTCTTGCCTTTCTTTTGAGCTGTATCATCTAGTGGGGGATTTTTAGAGATAGAAACATCAATGATGAGTGATAGTCATTGATCGTCTGCCTCCTGCACACCCCCCACTGGGGACAGCCTATAACCTAGGCATGTGCCCTAACTGGCAATTGAACCGGTGACCTTCTGGTTCCTGGGTGGATGCTCACCGCTGAGCTACACCATTTTTATTTTTTTATAATTCTTTATTGCTGAAAGTATAACATATGTCCCTCCCCCCCTCCAGCCCGCCCCCGTCCCTCTGGGGACCACCCAGAACCCATCCCAGGCCTTCAGCACCTACTGTCTGTGTCATGGGCTAGGCATATATGCACACAAGGACTTTGG